TGCAAGCCACATAGAAATTCCAGAGCACTTCTTGGTCTGGAATTCTAGAACATTTTTATCACTCTGGTTAAGGAGAAAATAGGAAATGGCTTAAGTTAAATAGAACAAACAGAAATAGCTCCTCTGAAGATACTTAGACATTAAACTGCATTTGAGAACCGCTGAAAAAAATTTCAAGGAAGAAAAAGACAAAAACTAGTTTATCCCTGAGCAAGGATTTAATCTTGGAGTTGACGGTACATCAGGAGCCATCTCAACATGTGGAAATAATGACTGGGCTCCTAGTTTTGCAAGGTCAAAATGCTTCTCTCCTCACAGGCAGGGTCTTCCTATGTGAGCTAGAACAAGTCCGTCTGGTAGATTTTCTTATTTTTGGTTATGGAATGACAGTGTCTCTCCTTTTGATGGGCTTAACCCATCAAAAATGCTGCCCACGTTTGATTTTTAATTGGGTCCCAGTGAGGTGAGTCAGGCCAATAGATGTTATCATCCCCATTTCAGAGACTGAGAGAGGAGCTGAGGGCCTGAAGGCATCTGGCCCAGTGCTGGGAGCTGGGATAGCAGCCAGGGCTCCACTGGCAAGAGGGCTCCTTAAGTGCCATTTAGCTGGCACTTTAACTCAGTCCCAGAAACGTTGTTTTGTGCTTGCAGTTATGTCCTTGATCTCATGAAGTATAAGTCGTGGTTCTGTCCAAGACAGTCTTGTTGCTCATCTAAGCCAAGGTCACGGATCAGTACATCTTTTGATACCTCTTTCAATGATTTTATTCTGTTTATTTATGCATATGTTTTAAAATTAAAGTAGCTGTGTCATTTAGAGTCCTGTAGACCTGGGAGCTACTAATTACACAAGGAGCGACCTTGCAAGATCACTTAATATGCCTCAGACTTGGTTCCTTCATCTATACAATGAGGTTGTTATAAGAATTATATGTTAAATGATGCAAACCACTTAGCATAATGCCTGAGTACCCCATATCGTAACTAAGGCTAGTCTGGTCAGTTCTGTCTTCAAAATATCATGTATCTAGAATTTAACCACTTTCATCCCTTCTCACCTACCACTTCAGTCAAAGCCACCATTGTTCCTCACATATTGTGGTAATATTCTCCTATCTCACCCATTCCCTTTTTCTACTTTATTGTCAACATAGAGGATTCTACGTTGAAACTTTAAAAATACAAGTTGGATTATGAACTTAAAGCCCCCTAGAGGCTTCCCATCCCACCCAAGTCCAGTCCTTTGTTGGCTACAGAGTCCTAAGGGATCTAGCCCTTAGCCATCTCTGCAATATCTTCTCTTCCCATTCCTTCTTTCTCTCTGTTCTAGTTACTTTGTATTTCTTGCCTTTCCTCAAGCTGAGCAAGTTTCTGCTTTGGCCTCTTTGCATTTAATGTTCCCTCCTCTTGGAAAAAGTTTCCTTTAAATTCACTACTTGGTTTCCTCCTTTACTTCCTTCAGGTTTCTGCTAATATATTACATTATCTAGCAACTCCCCAACTTACTATGTTTCAGTATGTGATGCATATATTAATTTCATAATAATTCAAACAATAGATGTCCTGTTAATATTTAAGATGGATAGTAAATTGTAATAAAAAGAATAGCTAACATTTATTGAAGCCTTGCTAAGTGCTATGAATTTTGCTTTCCTTTGCAGGTGGTAATCTACCCTCTTGGTGTACTCTGTCACCTGCAATAGACCTTAGCTCAGATGATGCCTCCAATAAGAAATTCTTTATTGTCAGGCCAGAAGTGATTCTGTATTCCCTCAGTGATCAATTTGTACCATTCACTTTTCCTTTGTGTTATAGAGTTTTTATAAGTATCTTCTCTTAAATATAAGACATTTGATGGCAAAGACCATATCTAGTACAACTTTATATAATGCACAACTTGTAGGACACCCTCTCATTTTATAATCCACTTTAGATATGTAGGAAAAGTTACAGATGCTCTTTCAATTTGTGCAAATGAATTCACATTGACGGTTAGGTGTTATTTGGGATCACAGATTTCAGAACCTGAAATATCAGAGTTAGTATGTTCAAGACAAAATTAGGTAAAGAGAAAAATGAAAATATTAAGGTACAAAAGCCAATGAAGTGCATCATTTTGAGACATAAATAAAGGTTGAATTGTGTAGAGTTATCCCCATGGGTCCATACCATATAAATATGACAATTCTGACATTTATAAAGAGTTCTAGAAGAAGTAATGGTCATTTCTTAATTCTCTACAGTAATCCTGTATTTCTTTACTTATCTTCTCTGTTTACCATGTCCTAGAAAAAGTAGTAATAAAATATGTTTCCTATGTTAAAAGAACACTTCTTGGTATTGTAGTTTTGTTAGGGGAGGGGGGTTGGCTATCAAAGTAGCTCTATATTGAGGTAATTTTTTTGTGTGTGGTCATGGTACTTTCGGCTTGTCTCCTATGGAAAAGCTTCAGGCACTGAGCTAAGTCCTCAGAGAGACTCTCCCTGTACACATCATGTAAAAACAAACAAAAAAACCAAAACCTAAAACAACAACAACAAAAACCAAACCCCTCAAACCCTTCCTTTTGGGTTGCCAGAGTTAGCAAATAAAAATACAAAATACCCAGTTAAATTTGAATTTCAGGTAGACAACAAAGAGTATTTTAGTATGTCTCATGCAATATTTGATGTACATATACTAAAAAAATACTCATTGTTTATTTGAAATGCAAATTTAATTGGGTATCCTGCAATTTATCTGGCAGCCCTACCTCCGTAGCCATTATAGTAACTTGTTTTATTGTTTCCATTTTATTGTTTCCAATGTCAGAAATTGTGTTTATTGTCTGACTCTCCCCTATCTCCCTTGTTCACAGCTGCATCCCAGAACCTATCACAGTGCCTGGTACATAGTAGGTGCTCAATAAATATTTAAGTATTTGTTATAAACGTTAGACAAATTAGAGAGATTATTAACAATTCGGGGGCATACTGCTAACTAGACAAGACTGGAATCAGCGTGGTGCCAAAGTTCAGGGAACTTTTGCATGTTTTCCATATTTAGGGGTGCCGAGGGCAGTGGAGGAGGGAAGGGGCACTGCTTTCCGAGAAGCTCTGTTAGAATCAGAAGACCTTGGATCTGTAGATTTCGAAAGAAGTAAAATCTGAATGAGCTACTTGCCTTGCAATTATGCAAATGAAGTAACCAAAGGAAAATGCACTTGAGTGAAAAGAAAAAGATTCTGTGCATTTGGAGTGGGGTCGGTACAGTGCGCATCCTCCACATCTTCGACCTTCTTAAACTCTCTGAAACTTTAGGGTTGGCCTTATTGCCAGACTCTAGAAACCTCTAGACCTTGATCGTAAGAGAAACCACCAGTACACATACAAATAAAGAGCGAGGAGGCGTGTACGGGGATGAAGTCAAAACAGAGGAAATCAAACTCTCGTCTTGGACCCAGGGCGCTCAACGGAGCGGGGCAGCGGTGTTTAGCGCCAGAACTCAATCGGATTCATTTCCATGTGGACTCTCGGCCCTACAGGACTCGGCGTAGGCGCATAATCTACTCTCTTAGTTCACTTCATTGGACCTAGACTGTCGCTGGCGGACACGTCCAGCGGCCGGCCAAGAGCGAGCTGTGTGGGAAACTGGCTGGATCCTAGGGAACAGAACGACTCCAGTTCCTACCCAGCTCCACCCGGCTCTCGCTTGCCCGCCCTCCCACCCGGGAGCTGGAGGATGGTCCCGGGGCGCTCCCACGGGGCTGGTCCCGGGTGTCTTCAGCCGGATCCTCTGTTATGTGAGTCGCGTGCGCGCGCCCAGTTTGGAGGCAGCCACTCCGGCCGCTGACAGGTGCTGCCTGTAGGGCGCGGGTGCGGTCCCCAGCGCAGCTGGACGCGCACGCCCTGGTGCGCGTGGCTTCTGAGCCCGGAACCAGCGAGGAGAGGGAGGCAGGGCGCGGCCTGGGGGACTACGGTGGACCGCAGCCGCGGAGCGCGGAGCTAGAAACTTTGCAGGCGAGGCGGCGGGGATTCCGTGACAGCGCCAACCCACCCCGGCAGGTGAAGGAGGAAGAGGCGGCGCCGGAGTCCTGCGGCCAGAGAGCCGCGGCGGCGTCTCTCCCCCGCCCTGGCCTGAAGCCGCTGGGGACTCCCGGCTTCTGCTGCTGCGCCCGCCGCCACCGCCGCCGCCGTGGGGCTCCGGGAGGAGGCGCAGCCAGAGAGGGCGGTGGAGAAGGAGGAGGAGGGAAGAGGAGGAGCTGGGGGTGGAGGATGGAGCCCCGGGCTGCCTCGGCGGGCTCGCCGGAGCCTGCGGCACCGTCCTCCTCTTTTCAGGCCCGGCTCTGGAAGAACTTGCAGTTGGGGGTGGGCAAGAGTAAGGGCAGTGGCGGGCGCGCTGGGGGCCCTGAGCGCCGCACTGCGGACACC